ATATATATATATATATATATAGAGAGAGAGAGAGAAAAATAGAGATAGAGATAATTAGATAGAGAGATAGAGATAGATACATAGATAGAGAGAGATAGATAGATATAGAGATAGAGATAGAGAGATAGAGATAGAGAGAGATAGAGATGGATAGATAGAGATAGACATAATTAGAGATAGATAGAGATAGATAAATAGAGATAGAGATAAATGGATAGAGATAGAGATAGAGATAAATAGACAGAAAGAGATAGAGAGATAGATAGGGATAGAGAGATAGAGATAAAGATAGATTGAGATAGAGATAATTAGATAGAGATAGAGATATAGAGATAGATACATAGATAGAGACAGAGATAGAGATAGATATAGAGATAGATATAGAGATAGATAAATTGAGATATAGAGATAATTAGATAGATATAGATAGAGATAGATACATAGAGACAGATAACTAGATAGATACATGTGGATAGATAGACAGGCAGGCTGGCAGGCAGACAGAAGTTGTCAATGTTCCAACACTGAAAGTTTTTAAGAAGAGACAGCACAGGTCTAGGGTCTCCTGTCTCAATGGGGTTGGACTAGAAGACCTGCAAGGCCCCTTCCAACTCCTGTTATTTTGTTCTGTTCCTAATCGAGGACTGAACAGCTACATTCCCAGTTAACTGAGGAAACGGGGAGACTTCAGCCGCCCCTCACAGCTTTGTTCCTGAGAGCGAGTGAGAGAAAAATTCCAAAGTCCACACTCGAGGAACAGGTGAATGAATCCGCTAAGCCCCGTTCTGTTAACTGAAATCAGTTACTCGCCAAAAGCCGGGAGCATTTCTTCCAGCAATTTGACTGACCGCAAGGCCCTGCCAGTTTTAATTTCCTGGAGCGCGCTAAGGCAGTCCTAAGTTGCACGAACAGAGGGATTCAGTCGAGATCAAAGGAGACTCTATGAAGCCTTAGTGAGGCCACACCTAGAGTACTGCATCCAGTTTTGGTCACCACACTATAAAAAAAAGATGTTGAGACTCTAGAAAAAGTGCAGAGAAGAGCAACCAGGAGGATGAGGGGACTGGAGACAAAAACATATGAAGAACGGTTGCAGGAACTGGGCCAGGCTAGTCTAGGGAAGAGAAGGACCAGGGGAGACAGGATAGCAGCCTTCCAATATCTGAGGGGCTGCCACAGAGAGGAGGAAGGGGGTCAAGCTATTTTCCAAGGCACTCAAAGGCCAGACAAAGAATAATGGATGGAAACTGAACAAGGAGAAATTCAACTTGGAAATAAGGAGAAACTTTCTGACAGGGAGAACAATCAACCCATGGAACAGAAGTTGCCTTTAGAAGTTGTGGGAGCGCCATCACTTGAGACTTTCAAGAAGAGATTGGACTGCCATTTGTCAGAAATCGTGTAGGGTCTCCTACTTGGGCAGGGGGTTGGACTAGATGACCTACAAGGTCCCTTCCAATTCAGTTAATCTGTATCCCTACGTTGAATATGGTGTCCAGTCTCCATCCTTTAAGATTTTTTTAAAAATAAAAAATATTGGAAAACAAACCATCAACGAACAGGGGTCTGGGAATGAAATAAAGCCTGCAATGAAATGTTGAATAAGCAAGCACAACAAAACCAAGGCAAGCTGCCTTTTTAAAACGTTTTATTTTTTTTTTACATTTCAAAAACATCATTTTTTAGTGAATAGCATGACTCCAGGTTTTCACATTTCCATACAAACATTACACATTCATCTTTCACATTTAATTTCATATCTTATCATCACTTTACATATTTTCTATTAAACTTTCTCAAGTACTTTCCTCAAACTTATTTTATGTATTTTCAGTTCATTTCTTAACCTATTTCTTTTAACTTTTCTTTTAACCATTCCCATGTCTCCATAGTGGTTGTGCTTTATACTTTTATCTGTCAGGCTTGCAATTTCATCGCGTCTTCTGATTTCTGTCATTTCAAAAAAACTCCCATCTCAATTCAAACATTTCAGATAAGTTTCCCCCACAATGACCGATTAGAGCGCGCCACCCCTACACCCGAAACTGCCTTTTGAGTTGCCTCTTGGCAGATCCCAACCGGGGTGCTGAGTGATGTAACCTTGCGGTGGGATTATTTGCAGAGCCGAAATCTGGCTTCCAGGCCCAGCGCGATTTTGTCCAACAAACTGCAATTTTTCGGCATCTGATCATGGGAGGCAGACCTCCAACCAGCTGTCGAGCTCTCCGGCTGCAGAGATTTGACTCGTCCCTACGAAGGACGGCCTGTCCGTAAAAGATCCTAGCCGCATCAAGCCAGGAAAAACGCTGTATCAACGTTGCTAGAAAATAAAATATTTGTAGACACTCCTGCCTGGACGTGCCGTTAGGGGGAAAGTACATTTTCCTCCGCAGGAACCTCACGATGGGAAAATACCCATCCTTGCTTCCTCTCACTAGCCACTTCTAAACCGCCACGCTTTCAATTTGGCACGTCAGATGCCTGATTTTCTCCGGCGCACCTGTTCATTGGTACTGACATCACCGGAGTTGAGAGCCGCGGAGTTCCCCAGCCCCCCGCCCCGTGTCCTTGGGTTTGTTTGAGAGGTTCAGCAGAAAACAACTTTTTTTCTCTCCCTGACGTTGATTTTTAAGAGGAGCGACTTAAAAAATGTGAAAGCTCCAATTTTGCAACCTATTCAAATTTCTAATAATTTCTGGGTTACATTTACGTATAATTGAGGGGCCTCTTTGTCTGCGTTCATCTCAAACAGCTGAACGGGGAACCTTTGTGGTAGAGGTAAAATACTTTTTCAACCCATAGTTGAGTAGGTAAGTAAGTAAGTAGCAGGGCACCCATTTCAGATAAAATGCTGGGTTTTTCCACCAAGGTGTAGGGGTAATTTAAAGACTTGAGCCTTACCTTGAACAGGCGAATAATATTGGTTAAAGGTGCACGTTAAGGACACACGTTCTGCCACTTGCATGCTTAGTTTTATATACCGCATATACAAGTGTCAATTTAGCAAGGAGTAATGTAATGGCAAGTGGTGAAAGGGGAAGGAAGAGGGAAGGAAAAGGAAAGGAAAGGAAAGGAAAGGAAAGGAAAGGAAAGGAAAGGAAGGAAGGAAGGAAGGAAGGAAGGAAGGAAGGAAGGAAGGAAGGAAGGAAGGAAGGAAGGAGATTATGAGAGTGAGTGAGGGTCTGAAGGGAGTCCTGCCTTAGCACTTGCCTACCACAGGTGCCCCTGACACAAGTGACATCAAGATGCCCACAGCCCATGGCCCTCCGAGGTCAAACACAACGCTTACAGATAATCAGAGTTGGAAGGGACCTTGTAGGTCATCTAGTCCAACCCCCCTGCCTAAGTGGGAGACCCTATTTCTGACAAGTGGCAGTCCAATCTCTTCTTGAAGGTCTCAAGGGATGGTGCTCCCACAACTTCAGAGGGCAACTTCTGTTCCTTGGGTTGATTGTTCTTCTGGGGAGGACTCAGGCGAGGGTCCTGCGTCTGATATAGAGATGGGGCCAGGGGCATCTGGGAGTTATGTGCTGACTCCGGAGCCGCCAGAATCTGGCGGAGGCAGAGGAACAAGGGGAGCCTGTTCCCAGTACGCACTTGCACAGAGCTGCCAGAAGGCTAGAAGAGTTAAGACAAAAGGGGCGACTCTGGAGTAAGGCTTGGAGATGATAGGCCCTCCCATAAGACATAAAGGAGGGGCAAAGGGACAGGAGCCTTTGCAGGAAGCAACATTTGTTGGCTCTGTTCGGATTACACCTTGAAGCTCTGTGGTGACTTTGTACTTTAGTTGTTTTTTTTACAGTTTATTTGGCACTTTAATTGCTGGCAGCAATTCAAAGGAGATAAAGGTGTGTGCTTATCTCGAGGAACTGTTTGGGACTCGTTAGGGGTTGGAACGAACATAATTCCCAGCGTTGAAATAAAAAAGAGAGTTGTTTTAACTAAGCGTGTGCTTAATTACGGTCTCAGGAAACCTTGGTCAAAACAATGACCAGGTTTCACACTTACAACCATTGTAGCCTCTCCGTGGTCGTGTGATCAAAAGCCAGGCACTTGGCAACTGATTCATATTTATGATGGTTGTATTGTTCCGGGCTCACGTGATCACCTTTTGTGACTTTCCCAGCTGACTTCTAACCAGCAAAATGGACGACGGAAGCCAGATTCGCTTAATGACCGCAGGGTTCGCTTAACAATTGCAGCGATTCGCTTACAATAGGACTGAAAGAAATGACTTAGGTCCGTTTTTCACACTTAACGACCATCGCAGGATTCCCCATGGTCACGAGATCAAAATCCAGCCCTTTGGCAACCGACTCATATTTACAACGGTTTTCAATGTCCCGGGGGGTCACGCGATTTCCCCCTTTTGCCACCCTCTGATGAGCCAAGTCAAGAGAGAAGCCAGATTCACTGAACAATCGCATCACTAACTTAACAGCTGCAGCAACTCACTTAACAACCGTGGCCAGAAAGTTCGTAAAATGGGCCGAAATTCACTTAACGGACATCTCGCTTAAGGACAGAAATGTTGGGGCTTAAAATTGACCTCTACATTGTTCCACTGCTTAAATTTATCTGAAAATGTATCCACTCGCATGTCATATTTTCCCTTTTTTCTGTTTTTTCCCCCAAATCCTTATCCTCTGTAACCGAATCGTTTCTTTTCCAGGATGGCACTCAAGATATTTTCATTGACGGAGTTGTCGCTCGCAACAGAGCCCTCAATGGTGACATCGTAGTGGTGAAGCTACTTCCAAAGGAACAATGGAAGGTCGGTGTTTCTAATCTCCTGCCCGTCCCCATTTTTGTTTCTTGGTGTTAGCTGGCAGGGAAAAACCAAACTTTGCACCAACAACAGCACTAGCAACAGCCCTTATTTAGACTTATATACCACTTTATATACCTTTAGGAAGGAAGGAAGGGCAATGGCCCTTAGACTTATATACCACTTTATATACCTTGAAGGAAGGAAGGAAGGAAGGGCAATAGCCCTTAAACTTATACACTGCTTTATATAACTTTTGGGAGGAAGGTAAGAAGGAAAGGAAGGAAGGAAGGAAGGAAGGAAGGAAGGAAGGAAGGAAGGAAGGGCAGTAGACTTTAGACTTATATACCGCTTTATATACCTTGAAGGAAGGAATGGCAATAGCCCTTAAACTTATACACTGCTTTATATACCTTTTGGGAGGGAGGGAGGAAAGGAAGAAAGGAAGGAAGGGCAATGGCCCTTAAACTTATATACAGCTTTACTGTGCTTTTCAGCCCTCTCTAAGCGGTTTACAGAGTCAGCCTCTTGCCCCCAACAATCTGGGTCCTCATTTTACCCACCTCAGAAGGACGGAAAGCTGAGTCAACCTTGACCGGGTCAGGATTGAACTCCTGACAGTGGGCAGAATTAGCCTGCAATGCTGCATTCTAATCCCTGTGTCACCACAGAAGGGAGGGAGGGAAGGAAGGAAGGCAGGAAGGCAGGAAAGAGGACGGAGGAAGAGGAGTACCACTTAGACGTATATGCCTCCTGCCTCCCAACAATCCGGGTCCTCATTTTACCCACCTCGGAAGGGATGGAAAGCTGAATCCACCTTGAGCCGGTCAGGATCGAACTCCTGGCTGTGGGCAGAATTAGCCTGCAACGTGACCCTCCTGGGCTCCGTTTTCATTGGCAGAGGGTTGCAGGAGGCTGTTGCAGCCAAAAACGGAGCTCAGGAGCCCACAGAAGCAGCCCCAACACGAGTTACGTCGAGCTACCCATGTCCCCCCCTTTCCCACACTCCCTCTGCCCCCCCATCAAATACAACCCTCAATGAAATCCAGTTTGCCCTCGACCTAAATTCCTGAAAGAGCCTTGAGTGCGTTCGCCGTGTGTCCTTCGAAGCTACCCTAAAATAACTCGCTTCCTTTTGAGGCTGGCAACCAAACGTTGTTTGGTAAACGGGAGAGCGACGCTGGGTTTATTTTCCTAAGCAGTAGGATGTGTTGGGGTGATAATTCCACCCTCGGGCAAGTGCCAAAGGAGCCTTCAGAAGTGGATTTGCTTGGCGAGAGAGCGGAATATTAGGCAAGAATTAATTCTGCGTCAAGGTTTACGCCCTCCTTCACAACGTGAAAAGTGACGCGTCGACACGTGTCTTAAATGCAAGAAATAGTTTGCATCCTTGAGCAACCAGATTCTCCCTCACCCTCCAATTTTTTAATCTATTTATTTATTTCAGAAAATTTATATATTGCCGCCTACTCGCCCACGGCGACTCAAAGGCGACTTCCACAAATATAAAAAAGTCATATAAAAAATAATAATACTAATAAAAGCAAATAATAAATAAAATAATACATTAGCAGCCCCCAATAACTGTTGCCAAATTTTCCTTCCAAGTTTTTTTTTCTAAACAGGACGAATTAGGCTAGCTAGAGAACTTCAGATGTTGTTGCTATCAGTCTGACTGGGGGTTGGACTAGAACGGCGGTCGCCAACCGTTTGGCCAAGGCCCACTGGTGGGCCGCAAGAAAGTTTTGGTGATCCGCAGAAAAATCTCACCCCCAGAGCAGCCCCCCACCAAAGCAATTAATCCAGGCTGCTCAGGAACATAAGGCTGTGCCGCCCACATGGCCCGCGGGAACCCTCCCCACCCCTTCACTCCTTACCCCGGCAAACTTGCCTGCTAAGTTGCTATTTTTCCTTTTTCCGACCATCAGCTGTTCTGCCGTGCCGGGAGATTTAGATTAGCTAGGAAGCAGGAAATGGTTGGATTTCTTGCTTTCTGGCTAGTCTTTTAGATCTTCGGCTCTGCTTTTAAACACAGCCGTACCTCCCTTAGGACTGAAGCTTCTATTGTTCAGCGCAGACTCGCGGCAAGCAAATTTTGTGTGACAGACTCAAGTAGCCGATGGCAGATAGATAGATCTCTGAATGAATCTGTGATTCTGTGAGCAACTCAGTAGGCCTGCCTGCTTTGCCTGATTTGGGGTAAAAGTGGCTCTTTTTTTTTTTTTCAAAAAATAAATATTTACATAAATATTTATAATATTTACATATAAGCCATGCCCAGCCAGTCACATGACCACCAAGCCACACTCACAAATTAGGCCACACCCACAGAACCGGCTAGTGGTCCCTGGGATTTAAAAGTATGAGTTTGGTGGTCCCTGAGGTCCAAAAGATTGGTGACCCCTGGACTAGATGACCTACAAGGTCCCTTCCCTCTCTGTTATTCTGTTATCTACATCTTCAGCTCTCAGCGATTATTTTTTTATGCGACAATTGTTTTTCTTCAGCCTCCACAGAGGATTTGAGACGGCTGTTTGCGAAAGAACTTTAGCCTAGAGATGTTTGGGAATCAAAACTGTGGAAAGAATTCAGGTTTACAGTGGCGCCTTGGTACTCAACTGCTCTGATACTCTTATTCGATGCATTTTGATATGAAAATTTTGTCCCGGTGTTTGTTTATAATACTCAGTGCGCAAGCCACAACTTGTTGGTGTCAGCTGCCTTGAAAGGAAAGACTTAGAGGCGGACATGATAGCAAGATTTCAGTATTTGAGGGGCTGCCCCGAAGAAGAAGGGGATCACCTTATTCCCCAAAGCCCCCGAAGGCAGGGCAAGAAATAAATGGATGGAAACTAATCCGGGAGGGAAACAACCTGGAATTAAGAAGAAACTTCCTGACAGGGAGAACAATTAATTGATTGATTAAGTAGGTGCTTCACCACGGAGGTTATTAAGAAGAGACAGTCACTTGTCTGAAATGGTATAGATCTCCTGCTTCAGCAGCGGGTTGGACTAGAACAGGGGTCGCCAACCCGCGGGCCCGGGGACCACTGGTGGTCTGCGAGAACATTTTGGTGGTCTGCAGAGAAGTGTCACCCCTCCCAAAGCAATTAATCCAGGTGTGCAGGAACGTGAGGCTGCGCCGCCCACATGGCCTGCAGAAACCCAAGGCTTGCGTCACTTGCGTTGCGAACCACACGAGGAAGTGAGGGGAGGGGGGAAAGGGGGGAGGGGGGGACTTGCCCCACGCGCCTGGCTTGGCCAACCGGGCTGCTTCTTTCTGCTTCTTTCTTCTTCTGCTTTTGGCTGCACACAAGGAAAGCAGCCAAAGTCTTTCTTTCTCTCCCCCAAACTCTGCCAGAAATGAGCCTTTGGGACCCTGCAAGGCCTTCTGCTCCAAGAGGCTGCGTCGGGTATCTGGTGTGCATGCGCAGGGGGCGTGAGGTGTGGGAGAAGGGGTGAGATTCTACCAGTTCGCACCTATTCAGTAAAACCGGTTGTTAACATTCTAAGCAGTTCGGAGAACCGGTTGTTAGAAGAAATTACTGGGCTAATCCCGTAAGGAAGGCAGGAAGGAAACATTCTGGTGTTGCTTACAGAAACTGCCTCTCCGTTAACCCTTCTTACATTCATGGCAGGACTGGACTTCCTGTCTCAGGAACTTCTCAGGAGTTTTTTTCTCCTCCTTTGTTGGTACTTTGCTTGTGTGGAGTGACCATTCAAAGTTACAATGGCACTGAAAAAAAGCGACTTATGACCATTTTTCACACTTAACGACTGTTGCAGCATCCCCACAGTCACGAGAGGCCAGGCGAGGAGGTGCGCGCCTCGATGTGAGTGATATTGAGTTGGCCACGCCCAGCCAATAACGTGAGCACCAAGCCACTCCCACCACCTAAGCCACACCCACAGAGCCAGTCGTTAAAAAAATTGAATCCCACCCCTGTGTGGGAGACATGCGCACATGTGCAGAGACGCGTGTCGTGTGAGGGGGGGAATCGGGTACGCATTTGCCTTCTGGGTGGTGGTATGCAAGTGAGCGCGAGCGCAATTATCAGCATGGGAGCCAAAAAAAGTTAGCCACCGCAAGGTTTTTTTTTGTCTTCCTAACCAGCTGGATCCTTCCTTTCTGCCAGAGTCCTTGCCTCCAACTTCCTTAAATCTGGAGGCGAGATCAAGGACGTTTTCCTTAAAGGGGAAAATTTAATTTCTCCTGGCTTGAGGGTTTTCCATTTGCGGATAATTCCTTTTGTGCCTCTTCCTGGGATATCTCTCGCCTGCGCGTAGTTCACGAACTTCGAAGTAGGGAATGCGTTTCAGTGTTTTCCTAGTTGTCGTGGTTCCTCTGCTGGCGAGTAAATACGAGTCGTATGTGAAATATTCCTGTTCTCTAGCACGGTTGGGAATTCTGGTTACTCCTGGACAGATCGGGATACACTTTCAAGTGCGTTCTTCTCCGTAGGTTTTCCGTTCATCCCCAGTGCTGAACATAGACCCAGACGTGACTTTTTAAAAAGCCTGTGAAATGGGTTCGGTGTGGGGGTCTGTGGCGCTCTCCTGAGTTTGGTTGTTTTCTGGAAAAAGTTTCATTGCCCCACTAGGTAACATCATCAGTGCTGGAAGGCAGTGGGATTTGTGAAGTGGAGGAGGAGGAGGAGAAGGAGGAGGAGGAGGACAACTGTGGGTGCTCATTGAACTTGGTGGTTTCGTTGTGGACATTTCATTACCCAGCTAGGTAATATCACCAGTGCTAATAGGGAGTGAGGTTTGTAGAGAGGAGGAGGAGGACTGTGGAGTCCTTGGTGGTCTCTGAACTTGGTTGTTTTCTTGTGGACATTTTATTGCCCAACTAGGTAACATCATCAGTGCTGGAAGGGAGTGGGGTTTGAGGGGGGGAGGAGGAGGAGGAGGAGGAGGGGGGGGGGAAACTGTGGATTGCTTTATCATGGACATTACATCACCCAGCTAGGAAATATTATCAGTGCTGGAAGGGAGTGGGGTTTGCT